CCTCCTGGGTTCAGGCAATTCTCCTGCCTCAGCCTCCTGAGTAGCTGGGACTACAGGCACGCACCACCATGCCCAGCTAATGTTTTGTATTTTTAGTAAAGATCACACTTAAGCATTCCAATTTAATAAAGAGCCTTTGGAGGAAGAAAGAGAAGGGGAGGAGAAACGGGGAACAACTCACCGACACGAATGCTTGAGATTTCGTTTCATTCAACTGAAGTTGCAATTTCTTTTCATTGTCATAGACTCCATAGAGTCTTTTGGACCAGGTTTGAGGCACTCTGCTTTTGAATTTTAATGAGCTATATAGGGCAAATATCCTTTGTAAATCGAGGACCAGGCAGCTGCAGTTGTAGAAGATGACACCGAGTTCTTTCATCTGTGAAATTAAAATTGAAAGCATCAATGCCATATGTGTCTTAATGGTGTTATTTTCAGAGAAAAACATGCATAAGAATGAGGTAGTTGTGACATCTTTTTTCTTGCATTTGAAGTAAGTAGATATAGTTACATTATGGTACATAGAGGTTGATATGTTATAAAAATGCTAAATATTTAAGTAAAACTTTTGCTTGCTTTTTGTATTAGGTCTCCTGCAGATACTTTTGTTTATTCATCTATACTTTTCATATCAGTTCTTCAGATTTGCTTCCTAAACTCTAATTTCTTTTGCATGAATCATTAAATCAGGTAGCAAGAAAAAGGGAGCTTTTAATTGCAACATAACAGAATGGCTGCAATCATCGATTCTGGAGTCAGACTGCCTGGATTTAGGATCTGTTAATAGCTCCACAACTTTCTAGCTGTGTGACTTTGAACATACTTAATTTCTGGGCCTCAGCTTCTTCCATAAACTAGAGATAATAGTATTTATTTTATATGTTGCTATGAGACTTAAAATGCTTAATACATATAAGAAGCTAAGAACAGTGTCTGTCACATGGTTATCACTAGCAATATGTTAGCAGTTATTCTTACTAACATTCCACAAGCCTTAAGAGTAATAGACGGATAGAATCTTACAACAAAAGACCACAGAGATGATTTTGTCCACCTCTCTCAAGGCATGGATGAGGAAACTGAAGCTCACATAAATAAGTAAAAATGGTAGACCCAAGTTAGAGATTTAGTCAGTGGGAAATTAAGGATTGAGTGCAGGTTTTCTGACCCTGAATCAAATACCCTCAGGAACATAGCTCCACTGGCTTCATTTGAAGCCCGTATCCCTTTGTAAAAATTGCAGATGATTTTTAATTTAGTCAATGAAACTATATGACATGAAATTTTGGTCATTAAAGAATGGCACACAAAAATATATGCTTTTTATGACCTGAATACCCAGTGAGGGGTTATTAGGGAAAACTTGGCTCTCTAAAGACCTGGGGTCCATTGATAGTAAACCCCCTTTTTATACCTCCACTGAGCGCCTACCCAAGACTCTTTACTCAGGATGATAGGAGAGGTCTCCATCACGTATGAACCTGTCTCTCTTTGCTTCCAGGACTCCCCAGTACAACATGCCCTGGAAATCTTCCCATGTTCCTCTACACACATCTGTCATCCTCTTCCATCTCCACGGTAACCACAGGATAGATGGACACAAGTTATTTAACCCATAGATAGACATCATTCCTACACTTTCCCTAATGCAAAATAAAGTAATAAGCATCCCCGCATATATATCTCTTTTTAAAATTTTTTCCTCCAGTCTAAGGTTCAACTCAGGTATAATATAACCCGCATATACATCTCTGTACACCTTCAATATAGATTCCTAGAATGAGATGTACAGACACATTAAAGACAATTAGCTGTTAAGAGAGATAGAGCAGGTAGGGCATATCAGGCATGTGCAAAGGCACTGAGGCTGGGGGAGACATAATCAGCTTCGTGGCAGAAGCTAAGTGAAAAAGAGGAGAATATGTATATATGTATGTAAATATTTTTTCTGATGGCAAGGGGTAAAACTGGAAAGATAGGAATATCCTCTACCTAGGGGCCTTTGTACAGGGATAAGCAGTTTGCCTTTTATTCTGAAGTTCATGGGGAGGCAGGTAGTGAGGGGAGGGGCATGATCAGGCTGCACACTGGAAAGGTCCCTTTGATTGTACTGTGAGAAGGGCAGGACAGCTGGGAGCAGGACATTCACACCCCAGGGCTTGGCAGCGGTAAAGGGAAAGATTTACAATTTTTATTTGTTATTATTTTTTAAATCTCAGAGATGTCCAGAAACTGTCTAGAGTAGCTGCTAATATGATTTATCTCACCCTAGGTTAGAGACAGGCTCTCCCTGTGGTCTGCTGAGTCCTGGCTGACAGGGTCCCGACTACACTCTGCATCGGACTTCATGCTTTTGCGCCTTTCCCAGACTGAGTTGCTGCTGCCACACTACCTTCTTCAAGGAGCCGTTAGCATTTCTTTGATTCTCAACTTTTCTATCTTTAGCCTTTATAACTAGGCTCTGTGTTCGGCAATGGGAGTGGGAGAAGAAGGGGATGCCAAGACCTGGTTCTTGCGTGGGTCCATAGCTGCCTTATGGGTCAAAGGCTAGCAACACGTTTCCTTTCCTGCCAGACATATGTGCATCTATGGTCATTATCTAAACAAACAAAAAAACAAATAAACAAAAGTGCTGAACTCTGAGGCCAAAATGTAGATTGCAGGTTAGGATCTTCACCAACCAGATAAAGGGCCTTCGGCAAATGACTCAATTTCTTTAAGTCTTTGTGTGAACAAGGAGGGGATGGGCTCTAAAGCCTGTAAGGCCTTCCAACCTAGCCATCTATGAACATTACTGAGAGCTGGCATCAGAAGGCAATTTCCTGTTTACTTTGCAGTCTCTTTACCCTGCCTAATCTCTTTTTTTCACACTGTCCAGAGAACTCCTGTTTGCCTGTCAGAGCCAGCTCACTGTGCATGATTGTGGCTGGTGACCCTCCCTGGTTTTAAAGTCCCTCCAGGTTTGCATCTTTGTTCTGCTCCTTGTTAAATAGCATTGGATAAAACGATTTAACTCCCATTTCATTTCATTGTTCAACAAGGATAATATCCATCTCCAAGGTTTGCTGATAGAATTTAATAACTTTCATAATTTTTCTTTTACAGATAGCATCTTGCTCTGTCACCTAAGCTGGAATGCAGTGATGCAATTAGAGTTTGCTGCAGCCTCGATCTCTTGGGGTCAAGTGATCTTCTCACCTCAGCCTCCTGAGTAGGTGGGACTACAGGCATGTGTCACCACATCCAGCTAACTTTTTAAAATATATTTTTTTGTAGAGATGAGATCTTGCTACGTGGTACAGGCAAGTCTTCAACTCCTGGCTCAAGCGATCTTTCCACCTTGGCCTCCCAAAGTGTTGGGATTACTTGTGTGCTTCAGTGCACCCAACCAATACTCACAATTTTGATGGCGAGTACTGACGGAGTGCTTACTTGGTGAGCGCACTGAGCTGAGTAGTGTGCTCCTCAAATTCATGTCTACTCAGAACCTGTGGACGTGAAAATACCATCTTTCCAGATGCAAGTCAGGACAAGGACATATTGAATTAGGATGGGCCCTGAATCTAGTATTATGGATGTCCTTATAAGGAAAGGGGAATTTGGACGCAGAAACACAGATACAGAGCGGAGACAGCCGTCAATACCAGAGACTGAAAGGACGCATCTATCAAGCCAAGGAATGCCAATGACTGCTGGCCACCACCAGGAGAGGCAAAGAAAGATTCTTGCCTAGCGACTTCAGAGTGAGCATGGCCCTGCCTATACTTTGATTTCAGACTTCTAGCCTTCAGCATTGTGAGAGAACACATTTCTGTTCTTTGAAGCTACCAAGTTTGTGGTAATTTGTTATGGCAGCTCTAGGCAACTGATACCATGTGCCTCATCTACTTTAATCTTGACAGTGGGTCAGGTAGATACAATTTTTACTTCATTATACATAGGAGGGAATTGGGGCTTGGATAGTCTTTTTATTTTTGTAGGGATGGGTGGAGGATCTCACTATGTTGCCCAGGCTGGTCTTGAATTCCTGGCCTCTAGTGATCCTCCCATCTTGGCCTCCTGCCAAAGGGCTGGGATTATAGGTGTTAGCCACCACACCTGGCCTGGGTAGCCTTTTTAGGCTGTCATTTGCCCACTGGTAAATGATATACCTGAGATTTGAACTTTGGTCTGACTCTGAAGCTTACATATTTAATCACTGTGCTGTTACACTGCATTTAGCCCATGGCTAGTACACAATCCATGTGTCTATGGTTATTAAGGCTTTGAAGCTTTTTCTGGCCCAATCCCTCTTTTGCTTTGTCTACCACTGTACTTGGTACATATAGCTGATGTGGCATCATAATTTTTAAAAAATTATACATTCGTTTCCCCTAAGGGGCTCTGAAGACAGGAGCTTGTCAGATTCCTATTTTTATTCCAGTGCCAGGTATGTAGAAATTGCTTAGGAATTGTCTACTGAATGACTGCCTGGCCTTGAAAATGAATAAACTGTGGTCATAGGTGAAAATAAGCTTCCTTCTCAACCCAGCAGCCCTAGTGCCAGCCAGCCTGATGCCTTCTGATTCTGAACACCTAAATCTAACAAGAATCTCTCTTTGGATGCAAGAGGCCTGGAGCAGCAAAGCTAAAGATGGTCACGAGAAACCCATTTGGCCATGTGAGCTCCAGAGATCCACCTGGAAGACTTTCACAAATATGGCACACAATGATTAGTATCAATGGTAAGTCTTAAACTGGTCAATGACCTAGCTATTAAACGTGCTTCCCATGCCTACCAACAATGGGGTGCATCCTATACCTGCCAATAATGATGTACAGAGCCCAACACAGGGTTGTCTTTTGAATAGGAGATTACATTTAAAAAAAATCATTGCTGGCTGGGTGTAGTGGCTACACCTGTAATCCCAGTACTTTGGCAGGCCGAGGCAGGTGGATCAGCTGAGGTCAGGAGTTCAAGATCAGCCTGGGCAACACGGTGTAACCCTGTTTCTACTAAAAATACAACATAGTAGCCAGGCATGGTGGTGTGTACTTCTAATTCCAGCTACTTGAGGGGCTGAGACAGGAGAACCATTTGAACCTGGGGGGCAGAGGTTGTGGTAAGCAGGGACCACACCACTGCACTCCAGCCTGGGTGACAGAGTAAGACTCAATCTCAAAGGAAAAGGAAAAAAAAGTAATGCTATTCTTACAGCAAAGGCAGTGCTAAGAAAAGAGTTCATATCCCAAAATTCCTACATCAAAAAGCCTGAAAGAGGACAAATAAAACAGACAATCTAAGGTCACACCTCAAGGAACTAGAGAAACAAGAACAAAACAAACCCAAACCCAGCAGAAAAAAGGAAACAACCAACCTCGGGCAGAATTAAAAGAAAT